ACTGTTACTGTTACTGTTACTGTTAATGTTACTGTTACTGTTACTGTTATTATTACTATCTAGTCAATTACCATTGCTATCAGTCCTATTGCTATTTGATCTTGTCCTGCCTCTGTTGAGCTTTGGAGCAGGGGGATCTGCTCTTGCAGGGCCTCGGCAACACCTCCCTTCCCTGCAACTTGATCTGTTCGAGGCTCTGCACCTTCTGCTGCAGCGTGCTCTGCTTCTCGGAGGCCTCACAGGCCTGCCTGACAGTTGCCAAGCCGTTTAATCTGCAAGAAAAATGACCTCGTTCAATGCCAAATGGGTGGTTGTCAAAATTATGGTCCCTTTTTGGGTCCCTATTATAATACGGCACCTAATATTTAGGGTACCCAAAAAGGGACCATAATTTTGACAACCACCCATATCTGAATTGCATTGAATTGCAAGCCTCAGCGCTGCTGCAAACCGATGGGTGGCTGACGAAGTCATGCCTTCGTGGGGCCCGAAAAGATGTCAGTCGACGAAGCTACAGAGCGGCCCGCTAGGCTGTTTGATCGGAAAAAGTCTGGTAGACACAGACAGGCCTGTGTTGGGTTCTCTATGGTCTGCAGTTCCACAAGAGTTTCTTGCTGCAGGCATCTAAAACACCATGAACCCAAAGTCAAAGATCATCAGAGCCGCACGAGCCCAAGTTCCCCTAAAGCCTGCAAGATTGTCTGCGTTGCTGTTACGAATCTTGTTATATGTACAACAGTTCATATGATTCCCCTAGCATGGTAACGAAAATCAAGTTGCTAAGCAGCAACCCTAAACCTTGAACCCTAACCCAGCTGTTGACATCCCTCTTGTTCCACAGCCCAGTATGTCTGTAGACAGCAAAGCCTCGCAGCTTCAGCCGCTCCTGAGCTTCAGCAAGTTGGGCCTGCACATGGTATCTTTTGGCACGCCCGGCAGCACATGGTTTGGAGAGTAAAGAGACGGTCTCAAAGACGACACAACCACCTGACGATACTCCACCATAAAGGTTTTCCTCTCCTATGAGCCTCCACCTCTTGCATCTTTAGGATCAGTGGCCGCTTGGCACAACTTCCTTGTATTACCTAGCACTGCTTAGGCTGGTACTTCTTATTGCAAGCTGCTCAATGGCGACGGCTGCTGCTGCAGCTACTGCAGTTGCTGCTGCGGCGGCTACGGTGGCTCTGTCTCCTCCTTTTTCTCCTCCTATTGACACTGTTACTGCGACAACATGTCTTCACGAAGAAGGAGGCAACAACTGAAAAGAATAAGTATTCTAAATAGCATCTCCAACGGGTGGGCTCAGGCCTTTGTGGACAGCTGCAGCGCAAGCTCCTGGCTCTGCGTCTTTGCGCTGCTGGCCGCATCCTGTCCCAGCAGCTTGAACAAGTCTTTGATCCAGAGACCCCAAAGTGAAGGGCATTTTTTCCCCGCTTGCATCAAAGCCGACAATACACAAAATCCACCGACCCCAGTTGGATGAAGCCTGCAGAGTGCGATACTTTGAGATTGCTTTCCCCACCTTGTCACCTGATCAGCTTTACAATCAAAGCTCTTCGCCTTCCCGTCTCTCTTTGAGAACACCTTTTTGTTGGTAATGCTACAACAAAGCATGGCGTTAGCTGAAGAGAACCTCCACAAAACATTTCAGCAACTACATGTCTGTGTAGGCGGCTTGAAGGGTATGCCAACCCTATGGGGCTCCTTGGCAAGAAAAGGGAAAAGGGAAAAGGGAGTTGATTGGTATGAGAGTGCGGCGCCCACGATTTTGACGAGCGGCTCTCACGCGGGAGTTCCATGCACATGTCCCGCGAAGTCTAAAGCTGCCATTGCTCATGGGGCCCTCAAATTGGGCATCCTCAAAACAAAAAACATTGTCGCCTTTGGATGGCTTCATGGCTCTTGGCGGCCCGACATTTGACCCTCGCAGCCCTCGCTTTTGGAACCCTGAGGCCGTGATCCTCGTAGCCTTGCTGCTTTTGGAACTCTGCTATTGGAATGCTCCTGGTGTTTTTTGGTATGCCCTTTCTGTGCTGTTGGAATGGTCTGCAGTGCTCTGCCATGCTCTGTTGGCATGCTCTTTAACTCCTCTTGGACTGCTTTTGGAATGCTTTTGGGTGGTCCTGGAGGGCTCTTGCGATGTTTTTGATCCCTCTTTGGTCGTTTGGATTTCTTGTGTAGCGCGTGGAATGATTTTGGAAAGTATTGCACGGCCAACGGCCCAAAAGGGAAACCCATGAAAGCAGATAGCAAAAGGTGCACCCGCCCCATCTAGGGACAGAATGCGTGGGTAAGAGCCAGGAAGAAACTCGTCGCAATGTAGTGTCGACGCATCCTTTAGCTGACCCCGCCACCAATGTCTTCCTACAGGAAATTAGAAATGTGACACCCCCCCATCGCTGGTCCTGGCCTCTGTGATCTGCACCAACATGATGTTCTCATCCTGCGTGACAGCAAGAAGCACGGACCCACACAGACAGCAGTGCGGTGGTCACCAAGGCACAGACCAAAGTAAGTTTGTAAATCCTGGGCTCCTTACATACATTGTTCTCTGAAGTTACATGATGCGTCCGCCTTGGTGCTCTTCAGTTTTCGAATTGTGCCGCGCAGGCCCTCAATGATTCCTGCAAGCAAGTTCTTGCAGAGTGTGTCACCCACCGTAGCCGCCGACCCATACCAAGCCCCGCGCCCTCAGCGTGCTTGCCCTCGTCTGCAAGGAGCTGAAGCTTCTCATGGCACCAGTCGCGCCTTACAGTCGCTGGTAAACATCACCCTGAAAAGTCCTAAACCCTAAATAGTAGTTTCCATTCGATTTTCCACTCTTCCAATATAACCCCAAAGTATCCCTAATATTACCCCAATAGGTACCTATATCCCCTGTATCCCCTCCCCAGAAGTAAGATGAGTCAACCAGCCTGCTCTCTCGTTGCTCCTGCTGCGACTCCAGCTGCTCAGATAATCTCCTGCAAGAAAGTAGGCACCCATTGGGGTAATATTAGGGTTATATTGGGGATTGGGGTAATATTTGGGTTATATTGGGGTTATATTGGAATAGTAGAAAATCGAATGGAAACTACTATTTAGGGCTTAGGTCTTACAACCAAAATTGCTTGCAGCGCGGGTCCTGTGCAGTTGGTCCAGGAAGGACTGGAGGTTATCTGTGGAATCCTGCTGCTGCAGCACTGCCTCCCTGACTGACATCCATCTAAGACAATAAATGCTTGCTGACCTTGGCGGAAATCACTCCGGCAGATGCAAAAAACAGCGCTGCCTCAATTTCCATCTTTTTACACCCAAGGCGTCACACGTTGCAACTTTCCGAACTTATTACAAACTCAGCTTGCCGACTAGGAGGGATTTCCTCATGGAAGCACGCAGAACCTTATCTCTCGGATCACCAGTCAAATATCAATGCTCAGCTCAAGCATATGTAGACAATGCTGCCCGAGCATGAGGCTAAGGCGTGCTTCACGCACTTCATTCAGCACTGTCCCACCACCCATGGGGACAGCTAGATCCAAATGGTCAGCGGCGAACGTGATGCGGTCAGCATTAATAGCTCCAAGCAAAATGAAGCACATAAGTAATATAGGAGCTGGAGTCACGCTGGTACGCCTGCAGACAGAGGTCTAAGAGTCTGGTGGAGGGGCAAGCACAGTTTTCATCAAGCCAGGCTGATCTCCACGTGGCAGTCCAGAACCAGCCTAATATCGGGCAGTGGCCATGGCTGCTCTCTACCATCTGGCTCAGCACTGCGACAGCCTCAGCAAGAGTGAAACAAGACCTTCCTGCATGTCAAGCGATGCTAGACATAGACACGGAAGAAGACCGAGTTTACCACCAGCCCACTCCTCACGCTCATCTTAGCCGATAATGATACCGGCTTCTGCAAGGTCCTCACACCACTGGAGATACTGGCACCCCACATGCAAGCAGTCTTCAAGTGGTCCATGCCTCCGGTGCCATCTCGATCTCTGCAGCCACACCGGGTTCAGCCTATCAGTGTTCCAGCTCTGTCTGCTTGCTGCATATAAAGAAGAAACCCCATCATTTACTATATACCCATATTATGGTAGCTTAGTTTAAGTTCCTTAAAAAGCTACCCAGTCGAAGGACCTCCTTCTTTGCGTTCTGAAGCTGTCAGGGTCAGCCTCCGCCAGCAGATCAGGAATCTCTGCATCGAACTTGCCGAAGGAGCCGTCAGGCTTGACATCCTCACAGTATCATAACTACGGCATTCGGGTTTAGGGGTTGGGGTCAAGGGTTTAGGGGGAAAAGTAAGACAGGGATTACATAGGGATCATACTAGATCGGGATTATATGGGAATTCTCCCAAGTATCCAGGATCAGCAGCTACTGCTGGAGGTGTAAGTTCTTGTGAGATACATTTCTGCAGAAGCAGAGTCTGCCATTCTTGTGAACATGCTTGCTTACCCCAATGGAATTACGCATTATTACGCATTACATCGCTGATGCTGGCTGTTTGCGTGATGAGATCAGACAGCTTTGACACGATGATGTTTGAGCTCCGGCTGGGTAACAATTTGTCCAAGTACTGCAAACCAAAACATGGCCACGCCACGTCTTGCCATGCAACAGCGGGCATCACGTGCAGCCCAATTTTGCGGCGTGCTCTTGCTGGAAGCCAGTCCCGGAGTTAGCATTATAAAGCTTGCCGGGCAGCTATTGCAACCACAATCGCATCGACATTCAGCTTAAGCAGTCCTGTCTCTGGTAAACCTGGATGTAGCTCTCTGTCAAAGCCACCATTTGCGGCAAAACCGGCGTCACCTGGAGCACGGCCAGCTCGCAACAAGCTGACCAGATGCCTAGCATGCAGCAACATGATGCAAAATGGTTCCGAGGGGTCAGCTCGCAGGTCGTGGATCTCAAACCATTGCGAGGTTGGTTGGTGGAAAACCTTTCAAAAAAGCATCTGAAGCGTGCATTCTGGGTTGTGCTTCATTTTAAGCTCCCACCTGAACTTTGTACGTACCTCGCTCTGGCTTGCCATCATGGCAGACGTTGGCCACCAGGTCCTGGCGGCAGATACATGCGAGGCTCTGCTAATTCATCCAGCAAAGATGGCAGGAGCACATACTTGGTCTCAGGATTCGCTGGCTGACAGTCTGGGTGGATGTAATCTCTCAGGTCGAGGCCTCAGGGCGCAACGGTTTGAAGCTAAGATTGCCACAGGCTTTCCGTGCTCTGAGGCACCAGCCCTTGAGCGGGAAGGTCACGATGGTAGGATTCTTCTCGACAAAAAAGTTGTTGTTGCGGAAGCGCTTGACTACGCAAATCACGTAGGGGGGCAAGCGCCTCAAACTGTACCTTCACAAGCAACAAGCAGGCCGTTTGGTCCCAGAGGTTCCATGCAAATGCCGATGCAGGATTGCCAACAGACGCAGCAGAGCCAAAGGGAGCTTAGACAACTTAAGCAATCACGAAGTGTGCTGGTTTGCTTGGCCATTGTTTGCGTGCCAAGAAGTTGACGGCCTCTTGCAAGAGGTAAACGAAACCCTGAAAAGAAGCCGTGTCGGGCTTCACTCATGACTCGAAGAGGGTGAGGCATAAACAGTCAACAAAAACAAAGTGTGCAGAAAATGAGTTCAAGCCTGTCTGCTTGGTGGTGGTGTTTCAAGGCTTCGTCATACAAACAGGCAGCAGGAAAAAGGCCTCCTGATCTCGCGGGATTCGCCACCCTTGGCAATCTTCTCGAAGGGCTTCTCACCGTTGAACTTCTCCAGCAGGTTAAACAATGGCACCTTCAGCTGCAGCATGCATTGAATCCAACATCAGCCATGAACTTGTTCAGCTTCACTCCTAAACCCTAAACCCTAAATAGTATTTTCTATCTTTTCCATTATCCCAATATAACCACTATATACTATATAGTAGCTTCCCTGTTCTTTTCCATTATCCTCTATATATCCCCATATAAAACCCCTACCCTATAAAACCCCTATATAACCCTTATATCACCCTATATAATCTTCATATACTCCCCAAACCCTAAACCCTAATCCCGATATAAATTCCCATAAAACCCCTGTATAACCCCCATATAACCCTATATAGATCCCTATATAATCCCCATACAACCCTAAACCCCGATAAACCCCCCGTATAACCCCTATAGTCCCAACCCACAGCACCAAGAGCAGCCTGCGGAATGAAATCGAGGTTATCCTTGAACAGCGGCTCGTCTGGCAATTCCTTACAGGCTCCGAATAGTGTAGTAGATTGTAGTATTTTGCAGTATACTATAGTGTGTTACAACTTATAGTATAGATTATGGTGTATTACAGTATAGTGTAGCATGCTATAATATATTATAAGATATTATAGTATATTGTAGGATGTTATAGTATTTTTTAAAATACTATAATGTATTATAGGATGTTATAGGATATTATAGGATATTATAGGATATTGGCTTCTTTCTGTGCGAGCTTGTTCTCAACATGAACTTCTGAGCAGGCTGCCAGCGTCAGAAAGACCGTCTTTTCTTTGGACTCTGTAATCCTCGACTCTTCGTGGGCAGGACAAAGCTTGACCTGTGAGCAGCCAACAATTATCTTTAAAGCAAAAGCTCTCAACGCAGCCCACCTGGACCTCTCCCTGGAAGACATCATGAACTAAAGAGTCTCCTTTTTTGTCCCGGGACTTCTTGTGAAGGTATCCCATAAGCCTTCAGCAGCTATTCAGGTTGCACCAACTTTGGACAGTAGCGAAGCATCCTTGAGGCGTTAGCCATGAGAAGAACGCAACAGGATCCATCTGCTTGGCGTAGAACCTCGGCCACTCGGCCGCCATCGCGGCGACTTCCGTTTTGGGGATCGCCAGGCCACAAGAGATCTGGGTGGCCGGCTTCTTCTGCGTGACTCTTCCCACTGCTTGGTAGAACTCATGGGGAGAGACAATCCTAGGATCAAGGCAGGATTCACGAAACGTCAGGCAGGGATATGGGTGGTTGTCAAAATTATGGTCCATTTTTAGATCCCTATTATACTACGGCACCTACTATTTAGGGTACCCCAAAACGGGACCATAATTTTGACAAGCCAACCATGTATGCTTGGCCCGGCACCCTTTGAAGTTCCTGGGATTATACATCTTGCGGAACAACTGCGAGATGGTGGCAAGCACAGGGTCCGGCCTTGCTGCCATTGGGGTAATGGAAAAGAAAATGGAAACTACTATAATGGGGTTATATAGAGATTACTGTTATTACTTGTAGTATTACCAGTACTGCTATTCATACTATTATTAAAAACATTGCAACTATTACAATTATTACAGCTACTAGAAGTATTCCTTTTATTACAAGTCTTACAGTTGTTACAATTATTACAATTATTACAATTATTACAATTATTACCATGTATAAATAGATTGCTATTATTACTACTATTATTACCATGCATACTTGTCTTGTCAAGTGTCCAAGCACAATCCACAAACACCCAGAAGGCCGGGAACAGAACTTCCGCTCGGAGGGTGGCTGATAGCCCAACAAGTAGTTGCGAATGGGGATCACCTGACAAACCGATGAATCGGGTCTTCTGGCATGGCAAGCTCTGAAACAAGGCTCGAGCTGTGCAAAGCATCTGGATGACTACGTTCTGGTAGTCTGAATCCTGGATGTTGTTCAGACCTTCGCATGTTTTGGGCTGGCAAACATGCAGCAACCGTCACCGATCATCAGGACACAGAGCGCAGAACCAATGCACCCAGGAATGTAATCGGTGCCATCCAGTGCTTTGGAATACCGCACACGCGTTGACATGAACTCGATCTCCTGCAAGGAGCGCTAAATTTGGACAAGGCCGTCGTATGGCATGACAGGACTGGGCAGATTACCCTGTCTCCCTGCCTCCTCATCAAAGAAAGGGATCAAGTTGTACTTGATATCCTGCCATGATATCTCCAGGAGACTCCGCCGCAAAATCCATGCTTGGCTTCTTCCATATACTATAATATCCTTTAATATCCTATAATATCCTTTGACATTCTATAATATACTACAATATTCTATGACCTAAATTAGCTCTACACGGCTGCCTCCAAGGATTTATCCACCACTTCGTAGCCATCTGGAATGCAGTATACCTTCCCATCCACGGCGTTCATCCACACGTAGTGCCCTTTCTCCAACGCATGGCCTCGGCAACCAAGCAGACTTGCGAATGATGAGCAATACTTGGGGATTTCCCCAAATTAGGGGTTCCTTTCTAACCAGGATTATAGTATTTTGGGGTCTACATTGGGGTCCCCCTATTTTGGGAAACTACCACCTTGAATGCCGCTTCCTCAGATCCCAGCGGTAGGCTGGCGTCTCCTTGCCACGGCCTTGGAAGAACTTTCCATCCACCAGGTCGCAGTAGACGTTGTCGCCAGACAGCGTCATAGAGCACAATTTCTCGAAGTCAAAGTCCAGGACATGCCTCAAAAGGCATTAAGGCCCCCCGACTGCAGGCTGAGGAAAGGACGGAGGGTCTCGCCTGTTGATGGTACCCAAATAAGGGCAATCCATACCTCGCAGCTCGGAGATCTTCGAACAGCCAGCGAGCTTCCGTGGTGCTTCAAAGCCAGACGCTCACGATCTCTGGGGCCGCAACGCTGAGGCACCTCTTCCACCTTCTTCTTCTTCACCTGGGCAAGAGCCCATCTCAGTGAGATGTAGCAGAACTCTGAGTTGTAAATTTTGAATTCAGAAAAAGAAGCTCCTGAGGAGTTGTGCTGGGCAGCCCGGCTGGTGCTTCATCGTCTTCCTCCTCCTCGGCTGCAGGTCGCTTTGCGGGCGGCAAATCCTGTCAGCTGCAGGCCATATGAGCAATAGTCTAAACTCCTAGTATCCCCCTTAATAGCCCCTGTCGTGGTCCCCTGTCTGTGTCCCTGTGTGGCCCCCTTTGAGGAGTTTAGACTATGGCTCATATGGAGAAAAAATTTGCCATGGTTTCCCGGCAGTTTGGGAGGTCCTGGGCCGACATGGTTCCCGAGCTTTTAAGATTGCAGGAATTCAAAACAAAGGATTTAGACTGAGGTTACAAAGGTGCTGCTATAACAGTCTGTAACGGGGGTGTTTGTACTGAGACTGGACTTAGAAGCAGTCGCAGAAGAATTTGCATACTTCAATGCGGGCACCGCTTGACCATAAACGTGCTGCAGCTCGTGCCAGGACGCAAGGCTTTACGGCACGATCAAAAATAGAGCAGCAAGCGCATGCGCACAGGATACCGGAATTGAATAGGATGTGCACTGACTTTTTTCAACTTGCTCAGAATGTCCTTGCTGTGTCCCCATTTACATCAATTGCATGGCCCCTGGCCAGACGAGTATGTACGTCAGCAGGATCACAGGCCTGTACAATGCCGCCATGGAACAATTCTGACAAGTGTCCTCGTACAGCTACTAAGTGCAGTCTTTGCCGAATTGCGCAGGATGGGGCGGATAGGGCCCTTCATGCCAGGCAAGGCTGCCATCCGCGCGAAGACAGCAAACTGCCGCATCACAGCATTGGCCTGCCATGCCAGCAGAGTGACACAAAACAAGGAGCAGTTTGCAAAAACCAGATGGTCAACAGCGCTGAAACCCTAAACCGAAACAAGAGGCAGAGTCTGCACGGATGCAGGATAGGTGGGGGTCAAGCAAGTGTCAAAAAAAAACGCTTCAACCAGCACGGCTGGCCCGGGCATGGCATTCGTCCTCGCAGCCATACCCTGACATCAAACTTGTCTAAATCTGCAATGCAAATTCAACCCATGTGCCCTTCTGCCTTCTCTGCCTGAAGCTGCGCCACGTGTTTCTGCCTATCCTCGCAAGATCTCGCAAGACATTGCCGACTGTGCCGGAACGTCAAGCTGCTGCTTTTCGCACTTCACAATGTGCTGCCCCAGGCACGGCGCAGATCATGAAAATCAAGAGCGCAAGCACCTGAGTCTCAATCGTTGTTTGACCCCCGAGCTCCAGGTGGCACTGCCTTTGCAACACTGCAGGTAACGGCCAGGTCCCTAACTGTCAGTGCCCCATATGTTGCGGCCATTGTCCATAGGAGAACGCTTCCCCTGGAATTCTGCAAGTCCTCGCTGTCAGACATGGCTTTCTAAACGCTCATGCATGCAGACCAGACTGCTGCAAAGCAAGTTAAGCCACTTTGCATCGCCCGAAGCTTGCAGCCGAGCATCATAGGTAGAGGCATAGTTGACAGCAGCCGTCGCCTTCGTACAGTGAAGCCAGACCATTCTCCACCACGTTTGCAAACTCATGCTATGGGATGCCGCACGCACGTGCAACCAAAGAAAGCTTTCCTTTCCCTCTTTGTAGTAGCTCGTGGCATTTGTGTGATTGTCAGTGATAATACTGATATTCGAAACCAGGACGTCTTACCGCAAGCGCCACCGTTCCGAGCTGCTGACGTTGTCATCAGGCCTTGCGTGTTAAAACTACACGAATTGTTAGCGACCAGCTGAGTAAGGCCGCTGACGTCCATCCCAAAATCGTAACTGACGCCTTCCCGTGGCAAATGCATCATACTGCAGAACCCCGCAACCGTGTACAATCCTCACACACGATCACACACGCACCTCCCTGGCAGCTTCGGCCGCTTGCCTTTCCTGCTCGCTCTCCACCTCCTCGGAACTGCTGTCCACCTTCGCTACCGGTGGCAGCGTTGCCGTGCTGGGCTCTGCCTGGGACTTTGCAGAGGCGTTCGCAGTGGCGTTGGACGCAGGAGCTACGCTTTTGGAGCTGTCTGATGCGGCTGTCGAGTTCTCTGAAGATGCACCAGCATTGTGCGTGCTATTGCTGGACGTAGCTTCTGCAGTTGCGCTGTTCGCTGAAGCATTAGATTCAACGGCAGGGGCTGGTGCCTGAGACTCCGAACTGCTGTTGCTCTTAGTGCTCTTCGGAGAGTCTGCACTACTGTTGCTTTGCTTGCTGCTTCCAGCAGTCTCGTTGGGCTGTACTGCTGGGATCTCGTCGGCGGCTTTGGCCTTGGGCAAAGTTGAGACAGCTACACTAGTCTGCACAGAACATGGCCGAACCAACCGATTAGATGCTGACAGGATACTTTGGGATCTGCTGCAGTCAGTGAAATCTTTGCTCTTGGCCCGACCACATTTGTCTGTCAAGTTGATCCAGGTTCCCAAGCACATTGCAGGAGCGCAGACACGAACCTGAATTAGTGCCGTCGCGATGAGGTGCTCATCAATGCGGTCGACAGAGACAGCCACCTTCAGAACCGAACTGCATCAAATGTTGAATTGGCATCCGCGAGTGGCTGAGGCAAGAACTACAACGGCTGCATGACACAATGACAGGAGCGCCAGCGCTGGCACCGCGGGCAGCATACCCCGAGGCCACCTTATTGCCGTGGCAGTACACGTCCAGACTTGCAACATGTAAGCATGCAGATGGGAGCCTCTTGTGATTTGAGTGTGGCAAGAACAGACGAATACAATCTCGGATTATGAGCAGAGGCAAGCTGGTCTCTCGAGCCCAGACATGCTCTCAGCACAGGGCCTGGAACACCCAGAATGTTCCAGGTATGCGAAAGCAAATGGACATGAAGGAACCATTTTTATTCATTACCGAGGAAGTCTTGTCAGCTCGCAAGTCACCGCACACCACTCCTGTCATGCGCAGGCACACCTGATCTTTGCAGGCGGATGCAGGCGGCACGACACGTCGCTCAGCGAGTGAGGTGGCGCTGTGGAGCATCTGGATGGCCAAAGGGCCAAGACGAGTGCAGGCCTGAGGCTGCGCATCCAAGCATGATAATAATGAGGATCATGATAGTGGCATAAAAACCATCAGAAGAAGAATTATAGGATTGATTGCGATAATGATGGTTTTTTATTGGTGATCATGATGGCGGTCATTAGAACAACAGACTTTATCGAGAAACCCCGTACCGATGTTGATCTTGCTCATTGGTGCAGCCAGGATTCCTTGCAGCCGGTCAACCGCGTCAATGACTGAAAGCCCATCGGGCTTAGAATGCCCTGTCACGGAGTGCGTCTCTGCCACTTGCAAGTCTGCAGAGTAGAAGACATGCTGGGCACACTCCATCTCATTTTCGAATCCTAGCCCAGCTGGATCTTCTCCTAAGCCGGGATCCAAATCAGCTGGCTTCGCGGCCTGCGCAGCCTGCAGCTGCTCTCTTTGTCGCTATGGCAAGACTTGCTCTAGAAACTTTCCCAGTCCGCCTCAAATCCCTCCTGACCGAAGTCCACACCCAGCTCCGTGAGAGCTTCAAGCTGCAGCCCAAGGTCATCGAGCTCTCCCACAGTCCCTTCCAGTACAGCTTCCCCTTCTTCCGCTGCCGAGGCTTCAGGAGCTTCGGGGTCTTCTGGCTGCTCTGGCTGCTGGCTGAAGTTCGAGGCTCTTGTTCCCCCGGCGTCTTCAGCCTGTGGAGCTCCTTCAAGCTTGCCATCTGGGCTTTCGCTCACCTGCCCCGAACCCCATTCGGAGTGCACTCACCACATCACCCCAGAATGTCCCGTGAGAGGTACCCAGTTGCCTTGAGCTGGCTGTCTGTAGGCTCAGCCGGCCTGCAGGTCACACAAGAAGCAGACCACGCTTAGGTCTCACATGATCCTAGTTTCCATTACAGGTTCCATGTTCTTTCCGTTTGATTCTCAAATATGGCAGTTTCCATGTTCTTGTCCAGTCCCCTAAACTCTGAACCCTGAATTGCATAGCAGTTTCCCGCTCCTCTTCCATTCCCCTACATGTCATGCCATTTGTCTTTAGGGTATATTATGGTATATTTGGTAGTTTCCCAACATGAAGGGACCCCAATACAGACCCTAATGGATTGTAGTCCTTATTATGGAGACCCCAAGAAAGGTACCCCTCATTTTGGGAAACCCCTATTTCCCCATGAACCCCATCCCAGGCCCGAGGCGCCTAATGGGGATTCTCCGGTCAGCTGCCGGGGTTCCTCGCAGTGACCCAGACAATCATTGAAACAGTAATATCAGTAACTAGGATTCTAAAATACATAAATCTATATATCATACAGAGTTTAGAGTTTCAGCTTAGAATCAAATGCACTCAGATTGATATCAGCTGCAATCAGTAATGCAATCAGTAGCCTTGTTCAGTTCTTAAAACCGGCCTTGAAGAACTTCCACTGTGCCAGGCAGCGGAAAATCATGCCTGCAGAACCCGGACATGTTCACAGAGACCACTGCCCTCAACGTGCTCAAAAAAACATACCCTACGCACAGCCCAGTTTTCCTGACCGCAGCTTTCAAAAGCTGACGTGCGGGATTCCTCGAACAGGCAGCTCATGTCAACCTCTCCTGCGCATCATCCACTATCAGCGGCTTCTGCCAACTGATGCGGTGCCTATTGTGCTCAGCTGTTTCCGCGGCTGCTTCCAGGCGTTCGAGTGCGTCTTCGGAGAGCCGCAGACCATGCTTTTTGGCAAGCTCCCTGACAGGAGACTCCGGATAGACCACACCCTCCTTTTTCTTTTCTTCGGGTACTGGGCTCCAGAACTTCTTCGCTTGCCCTTCCCTGGGCAACTCCCAGACAGGCTTGGTCGGGGCAAACTGCCTTTCGTCAATGTTCACAATCTCCCCACTTTGCACGGCTTCCTCCATCCGAGCAATCGCACTCTCATCCAAGACCACCTTGGGAACCTCTCGCACAGGGATGGGAATATGATTACCTCGGAGGGTGGTTCGGGGTCTCACCTTCTTCCCACCAAAGGTGCCATTCTTCAGAGTCAAGTCTTCTACAGGCTCCTCCACAGTGTCCTCGACAATTGACAAGGATGCACTATCCTCAGCTTCGACCTCTCTGCGCAACTCAATGTCCTTCTGCAGGTACTCCTCCGCAGTCATGCCGACCATGTCCAGAAAGGTCTGATCCGGCACTTCCTGCTTGGTGAAGGTACGCTGATGCCGATATGCCATGGGCGACTTACCCCGAAGCACAATCTTCCCACCCTCGACGGTTGTTCTCGCAATGCCTTCTGCTGCGAGAAGCTTCCGTGCACCTCCAGGAAGGCTTACCTTCTTCCTTGGCCGCTGCGCGTCTAGAAGTCGCTGCTGGTGCTCTGGGGGAGGCAGCCAAGCTATGCGATGTTTCTCTGGCTCCTTCAGCGCCCACGTGTTGATGAGCGGATAGACCTCTGAACGCATCTCCCTGAGTTCCTTCCGTATACCCCATTCACCGCGGTACGGCAAATATGGTCTCACACAGGTGGCTTGATGCTTCAGGTTGTGCGAGGCGCGGCAGCTTTCACAGCAGTAAGAGACGCCTCTGCAAACGTTGCACATTTTGAAACGCCTCCCCTCGTCAAGGCTTGTCTTTCGACACACGCAGCATACCTGAACAGGAAATGTACCAGCTGCATTCTTCTTGTCAGACCGCGTCAAAGTGCCGTACTTGTCCTTGTACACCCAAACATCTTCACGAATCATCTGCACAATATCACAGCTGGTCACCATGACATTGTCACGTGAGAAGGCCGCTGTCATGTCTAGCTCTAGCAAGGAGGAATTGTTGCAGTTCTTGCGCGGAGACTTGCCGTGATTTTCACGCTTCTCGCAGTCCTCACAAAGCAGGTATCGATCCCTCCAAGGATTATCTGGTTCATCCGTGTACAGCAGTTGCGGAGCAATACCCTTCTTCCTGCTCTTCCGGTGCTTCTGCAACATGAAATTATTCAATGCAGCAATCTGCTTCTGCCGCACCTCAATATGTCGAACTTCACCAGGAGAAAGCTCAGTCCCATCTGGCTTCACAGGTGTTGGCCTAACCTTTCGCGATAAGTCATCTAAGGTGTAGGACCCTTCTCGTATCACTCTTTCAACTTTGCGAGGAAGTTTCTGAATCCTTCGTCTCTGCAGAGCCAAACAACTTCCACAAAACCCCAAGACAGCAAGCTTGCTAAGTACGGAAGACAGGGCTGTCCACGGAGCTTCGAGCTCAAAACGGGCACCCGAGGCACTCCGCGCGGAGGGCACGGAGGGCTGGGACGGAAATCCCTGATCTCTGGAGCGAGTTTCGCTCAAGGACAGGAAGGCTTCCATCATGGAAGGGTGTGAAAACTGCTACACTCTTGTGCAGCCCACTGTTGCAGCCAACTGTTGCAAAGGTTATCATTGGATGTTTTGTGACTCTATGCTTTGGTTCATGAACTAGGAGCCAGCTAAGCTGAACAGCCTAAGTTTCCAACTCCTTGCCCATGTTTCCTTGAAAGTCTACACCATCTCAACCATCACGGAGCCGAAACATGGCATATGTCAGCTGGGCAACAGGACAGGGCGCAAGCCCTTACCACAGACCTTGTTCTGCGCCAAGAGCGCTCTACGTTACTTACAAGAGCTGACGAAACACCCCAATGGAGCAAGTCAGAACACAGCTGAACCAGCCTTGTTGAGGGACTGAAGGAAAAAACGTCGGAGCCCGGGCTCAAAGGGCTCAGTGGGCTCAGCTGCTCACTCCTTAAAGACAAGATCTGTCCACCGAAGGTCAACAGAACCACACTTAAAAGGCCGCTCAGTTCGCCACAGAAGGCCATGGCGCTTGCTGGCCATCTCAGATGAGGCGGCTTGGAGTTTGCCGTGGAGAGCCTAAAGCATGGGCTTTCAGCGCACGACAACCGCGAAAGCCTCTTTTGGCCTTCTTTGCTTCTTCCAGCTTGATGACTTCAGCATGCAACTGCTTGCTTGCCTAACAGTAGTCAGACCATAGCAGCCAACCTACCAAGGACAAGGGCTTGCAAAAGCATGCCTCAATAGCGCTGGCATCTTGCTGCGTCAACTTCTTGATCTCTCGCTGTAGCGACGTTATTCGGCCTTACCCAGCAAGTGGCCAACTTTCGGCATCTCAGACTCTTTCCTTCTGGGCTTGCAAAATTGTGAGCCACCAGGCCTTGTAGGGCAGCTTGAGCTCCCTGCTCCCTGACAAGCAGCTTGAGCTTGAGCCTTAGGCCTTCGTCACAACAACTTCCTCAGAGCTGCCTCCCAACCTTCTGCTCGAAGTTTTTCTTCTTCTGCTGCGCATCGCTTACCTCGAAAAGAAGGGCACCATGGACCCTTATAAGGCCTAGCAGACTCTAGCCCCTACCTTGCCCTGGCTTACAAGCGGATCTGCTCTTCTGACATCTTCTGACTCCCGGCCTGCGACATCAGCAACCTGAGTTCGCAGGTCAGCTTTGAAAGTTTACCCCCAAGTCAACTGAGGCAGCCACTGGCGCTCCGTCTCCAGACTACCAAGCCTGTGCTTTCCGTTGCTGAGCTGAACCAGAGCAGCGCACTCCAAGTTCCGTGCTCAGAGTGACATGCCCTTTGCTGCTGCTGGGCACGTCTACATGCCTTGGAACCATGCGCTGCAAGGGGCCAATAAGCAGACTACTCACGATCACCCTCAGGCTGCAGCGAGTCGTTGAGCATCACGCTCACTCTTGGCAGCTTCAATCTTCCTTACCAGGAAGTTCGCGAGTGCAGCTGCAGCGTGTCATCCAGGCTGTCAGCAACAAGGCTGCTGCTGCTCAAGACTACCTCTGCTCTGTTCCTCGACTGAGAACTGCTGCCTGCACATGAGAGAATAGCAATTTCGTAACTTCATGTAACTTCAGCTTGGCTCCATGTCTACATCTGGCTTTCAGTAGAATAATTACATGAACTCAGGGGTCCCCCCATCAGCCTCAGCATCTTCAGCTCGTCATCAAGCATCTTGAACTCTGACTTCTGCCTTGCAGCCTGCTGGAAAGGTCTCTGTGGCTTTCACCCTGCGCCTCCTGTGCCACCAATCCTCCTCAGCAGATTTCGCGAGGCGTTGTCGCAATGTCTGCACCTGATTCTGAGCCCCACAACTCAAGAGCCCTGAGAGTCTTAGTCGAAATGGCCTCCTTTGCCACTACACCGCTTTGATGCAGCAAGGCCTTCGGCTTAAGCAGGAAGCAACCGCGCCCTACGCAGCCACCAAGCCCTTACTGGCCTGTCGCTGCTGCTTGGCAACGTTAAGATGCGCGAGGATGGCCAACCTTGGTTCATCTGCTCATGCTGCTTTGGGGTCATGGCCTTTAATACATGAGGCAAGCAATTGCTGCTTTGGAGGGGCTTCTCGGACTTGAACGCCTCCAACTGCGATTGCCTGATTCACACCAGCAAAGGTCAGGGACACGTGCCCGGCAGGATTGACCAGGGCCCTTGCATGCTCGCATTTTCATGTCGCACAGAATCCAGCCTGAAATTGACCAGGCAAAAGGCAGCCTTCAAACTTCAAACTCCAAGCTGGGATTCTGGCTCTCGCTCCTTGTGCTGCTTCTCCTTGGTACAGGCATGGGACATTCCACAAAGTCTGGCGACTCTAGCAGGTCTCAGTCCAAGCGCTAGACTGCCTCCGCTGACTTGACGCGACCCTGCAGCTCTTCTTGCTCCTGACCATCAAACACAAACTCACACAACATGCAAAGAAAATCTAAAAGATCCTCCCAAAAATCGAAGCAAATGGCAGCTGATCTTTCGCCTTGAGGCAAGCCAGCAGTTGGCGCTGCATCGAACGACACTCCGTCTCATGCGTCTGCAAGTGTTTCCTCTCATAAGGTCTGAAGCAAATAAAAACAGACATCAGTGCTGCGCATGGCAGTGCCGTCCTCTCGCTCTCCACCACCGCGAACGCTCTTGAAAGCTCGTGCCTGAAAGACGGAATATGACGGAATATGACGGAATCTCGCCCTTGCTTCCATCGTAGCGAGTCCCTTGGCAAGACATTAGACTGCTGAGCACCAGGCTCCAGTGGTTGAGGGCTGTCCTAACGCATCCGAATCGGTGTAGCAACACTGATGCCATCTGATGTGACATGATGTAACAAAAGCCTTCGAGGTCGCCGGAGACGGCGGCTTTGGCCTGGACAGGCAGAAGGGGTCCCAGCAAAGGCTGACAGGCTTGAACTCTGGATCATCTGGAGCCTGACTCTCGCGGCACCCGCGTTCGCAGCCTTTGCACCGGCTGCGGCTTTGGCGCTTGGCTTCGCCACTGGCGCCATGGCCATGTAGAATCAAGCTGCATCCATACGTTTTACTGTCCTGTAATCGAGCTAAGCACACAACAACAAGAGCCCTCTAACGATGTCAGCGGACTTGGGGTGAACGTCCAATGCAGCGTTACATGCGCGAATGAGTACGGTCTGGCACAGACTTCGCGCTTCCTGTTGATGATCTGATCAGCAAATGCCTGGGGGACAGGATGCACATGTGCTGCATCGTCATGGGCGCACTCTTCCGAGCCCTTGCGCAGCTGCCTTTTTGAAATTGGCAGAAATTATTGTGAGGCACTTGCTTGGCTGCAGGCTCTGCGAGACCCCTCAGAAGACTCCCAACTACTCCCAATCTAAGGCCCTGGGCCCCAAATGGCCATCTCTAAGTCTCCTCCGCTTCAGAAGGTGCCTCTGACAGAGACGCCCCAAGAATTATGGAGATTAACGGATTTGGAAGCATGGATTAAACAATCGCCACGGCAGGGATGATTGAGATTAACTTGCTTAAGCTTCAGAGTCTCCGATGTCACTCCCCGTCACTGTGGCAACATGGTAAGGAGTGTTTGCGCTTCACGCACAGCTCCCTATTGAGGATCAGCTTGTCAGGCTGAGTCTAGTTGGCTCTCACCGCATCCCCTTTTCGGGAAGACTGGCAAGAGCAGCCAAGAAACTAATTCAAGTAGGATTATCCAGCGTGATACTTTGTGCTTAGATGCAAAGTCAATGCCGGCAACATCCTCATGATCGAGCAGTCGCTTCCCCAATGCTACAATAGAACGCAGAACAGCAATGTGCCGAATCTTGTCTTATGCACAGAAAGGAAGCTCGGTCTCGGCACCATGGTGCGGGAGATTTGTACAGATGCAGTTGTCCCCCCATGGGCAAAAAAGCATTGTGTACAGCGCCATCGTCGTCATGCTCAGCAGCACCCTTACATAAGTGTTGAACCCTCTTGCAACTACTGGTAAACCTATCTGCCTTTGTGCGAGCTAACGATGCGGCCGATCGCGGCAAGCAGTTTTCAGGATAGGAGGCCATGCATTTTGCAAGCCCGCATGTCACCATCCTTAGCCGGTGTGAAATTCTTAACCGCACAACTGAAGATCTGAATTCTTAGCTCATCGTAAGCCCGAATCGTCTGGACAAGTCGTCACGCAGGTGATCATGCTGCCCTGCATGTCTCAGCCACAGGGTGCAATCCTACGGACCTGAACCCCGCCTACTTACACCTGTGGCATCCTACTGTTGATACTAAAAATCCTGCATGACCTTGGTATACTATAGTACCATGATTCCCAAAGTCTTAGGCTTAACGCTGGATTTTTAGTATCCACCGTAGGTCCCTGAATTGTCCCTGACACGACTCCCTGAAATGGACATGTCCAGGTCGAGAAGCTCATCGCAGCATGCAACATCCGCGCCTCAAACTGCAAACCGCAGATTTGCCTTCCGCGCGGTACGGTGAAGCGCCTCGACCCGAAGGCCTCAAAATGTCCAACTTTCATCAATTTTCATCAGGTTTGCGATGAGCAAGAACGGCTGGTGCCTCCATGCCCTTCAAGCTGAAGATGCTCCCGAGGGATGTGTAGAATGCAATGGACGTGCCGAGGAAAGCATCCCGGGCCAACTCGCAAAGATCCATGATTTCTAGACCCAATATGCCCTATATAACCCTATAGTAGGTTCCATTTTCTTTTCCATTATCCCTATATAAACCCTATATAATCCCAATATACCCTATATAACCCTATAGTACTAGACCTCACTGGTGACTGCGACCCGGCCTGCTCAACCGCTGTGATGTGCTCACCTGGCTCAAGCACCCAAGGCCCTTGCTCCGTACCTGCCAGGATAGTTCAGATTCAGCTGTTCATCCTAGTTTCCATTTCATTTTGCTTTTCCATTTGATTCTC